AGTAATTGTCTTTTGACCCTGATGAGGAAATTAGAGAATAATGCAAGCCACAGCTTTCCTACCATGAGTATAAAGAGCATCAGGCAAGGTTTGACATGACCGAGAACCAGGAGTTTTGTTTTTGTATACTTAAAAGATATTCATAGGAACACACAATTTAGTAGGAAAATAGAACATTCCTCATCTCATATAAACCCCTCACACACAAAGGATCAAATGGCCTTAAAAAATAGAAGTTGTCTTCATGGTAGCAGAGTATGAAAATACTATGAACTCCTTCATTCCTGCCATCCTGTGTCATCAGGAAGCATCCCTCATATTTCTTTTACAGTAACAACACAAATATTGGCTGTATCCCAATGAACTTACTCAGATAAACACAATATGGTTTTCTTTTAAAATAAGCCTTTACTGAATATATCAACAAGGTACTGTATAGTGTAGAGTGAAGTTTGTAGTTAACAAAGTGTGCAATGGTAGGTCTCAGAGGATGTACGATGCAGAATCTTCCAGCCCCTTGCAGTCCCTTGTCAGAGAGAACACGCTAAACACAAACCAGAAGCAAGTCAACATACGGTTCAAAGGATAACAAATCATCAGGATTAGGTTTCAGTGAATATATACTAGTCCTGAGGGACACACAACAGGGATGTCTTCACCTTGCCTCAAAATGGTTATACATCTTACATCCCATGCACATCTTTACAAATGCCCCGTGTATGTGTGTGTGCATGTGTGTGCATGTGCGAGTCATACTAATTTGAAAGTGCCTGTTCCAGTGGCCTTACTTTGTGCTCTTCTTGTGGGTGTGCAGCTAGAAAAACAAAAGCTATAGCAGAAGAATCTGATAACAATGTATCTATTGTACGTGTACAAAAGTTTTCCCCCACAATGACAAGCCTCCCTCATTGGCAGTAATTGTCTTTTGACCCTGATGAGGAAATTAGAGAAGAATGCAAGCCACAGCTTTCCTACCATGAGTATAAAGAGCATCAGGCAAGGTTTGACATGACCGAGAACCAGGAGTTTTGTTTAGTGCATGTTATCTTTTTCCCGTTTGGGCACTCTTTTCTGCTTTGCTTTCCCATGCAGCTGGTAAGGTAAGTCACGAGCAAAACCATTATCATCATATTCTAAAGTAAAAGGGAATGTCTCCTTGTTATAGGTTACAGGAAAATGCTATAAACCAAGATGTCAATGGAAATTAACCACTTCACTGTTCAAAAGCTGCAATGGACTCTACAGCTGAGGTTTGCTGGTCAAGCACAGCATCTGCTCTCTGTGGACTACAGTATCACCTTGTGTTTTGAATAGATGCTTTGTTCACAACATGAAGAGCCCATCCTCCCCAGTAGGGAAGGAAATTCTGGCTTGTGTGAAATAACTAAGATCATTATGATCTGCACTAGGTAGGAAATGGAACTGTTATATTAGCTACTTCATTAATACTTTTTACCAGACTGGTCACATTACACTTTTTTTTTAACCTCAGGGAAAATGTCTAATACATTTCAACAAACATCCAGATAATTAGAAATTACTTTATTTCTCACAGGGGAGAATGTTTTCCATTCCATTTGTTGCAAGGAAAAATAAGCTGGAGGATACCCTCCTCACCTCTGCCTGTGATTGGCCCATGTGACGGGCTTCTATTGCATCTGACAATGTGTGAGAGAAGCCTAGGGTCTCTCCATGATCAATCACATCCCTCCAGACAGGTAGGTATTGATGACTACTCTGGGTATGAGTAAGTGTCAGTAATATCAGAGTGATCATGGCTATGCCTTTTCTTTTTGCAATGTCCTTTGTACATTGGTATAGTGATAGTTACCAAGCTCTGAAAGTGGATAGCTACCATCTGAAATCATCTGATTTGGTCAGACAGACTCGAGCTCTTTACAAGCCAGTGAACATGGCTTTTTTTCCATGGTCTTGGCCTCTACTTTCAACCTTGACTCTTGACTAATCATCTCAAAATACATATGACATATACATAATGACAGCAAGAGAGGCCCCAAAACAGAGTGGATGTATCAGCAAAACACATTCCCCTGATTAAAAATGCCAATCAAAGCATAATCCACAAGGGATGGTTGTTCAGTAGTTTTCATAAGACACATCAGACATCACGAATTTCATGATGTGCTTTCTATCCTGGTTTAGGTGAGAGCCCCAGGTGTGTTATTACAAATAAGAAACTGATTTTAATTTTAGCAGTCTTTGTCATGTTTTGCACAAGATCAAAATAAAGCCTGTTAACGAGATTCTATCACTTCAAGAACACCTTCTAACAGAGGAACTCTTTGAGACCATCCTAACCATTTTGGTGACTGGATCTCCACTGTACATCTTAAGCTCCAAATAATTCTGTGAATCCCATAAGACACTGTTAAGAACCTCTCCATCCTTTTTCTTCCTTGCCCCAAACAAAGAAGTTTCAGCAGCCAAAAATTTCACTGGGGGATTACATATACAATACAAATAAATGAGAACAATTATTTTGTGGATAACAGAAATAAAAATCCTCCAAAGTCAAAGTACCATCATTTGAACACACAGTTTTATCTACACAGCCAAGGGGAAGAAGACAGTGGAAAGGAATTATCTGGCTAAGTACACAAAACCCCATGTCATTGTCCTGGTTTTACATGGCTTGCTGCTACACTGATCACCTTCACAGATTGTCTTATCCTTTCACGATGTGGACCTAGCTTTAAAAAAAAAACAACAGCCCAAACTCTCTAGCTAATAGACTAAAATGGAAGCCAGAGTCACTTTAGCATTAATTTAAATTATTTCATTGCTAAGTTTAGCTCTACTGACTGCAGTTTCACTTCTTGCGTCTACAACATTATAGCTTCAGTTATATTTTCTGCTTATTCTGAGGGACAAGGGAGATTAAAACATATAAGCTGGGATATATTATTAAAGAAAATAAAGCTCTTACTATAAAGAAAAGTTGCATAGCATTTTATACCTAAACTTTTACAAAGAAGACACATCACAGTTTTATTTTGCTTAGAGAGAGAAAGAGCAAGATGATCGTGACATTTACTGCATGGGTTCCTAAAATAATGACCAGTGGTAAAGCAAATATGAAGCACAGAGTGAAATGCTTAAATTTGATTTAAAAAACTCAAGGGGGTATTTTTTAGATAATGTATGTGGTCTATAGCCCTTCTACACCTAAGAGATGGCAAGGATTAAATTTTTTGTGTTTTCTGAAGATGGACGTTGCTTCAAAAATATCTAGAATTAAGCAAGATGACAGCCCTCTCTTTTCTATGCCCTATGCTTTACGCCCTGCTCTGCCAAGACGAGGGGAACCAGCCTTCACTCTCTGACTTGTTCATTTTTCATTGGTTGTCCTGCTCATAGAAGATGGATTATACCTCCAGAATTCCCAAAGTAGAGGAAGATCCACGACTAAAAAGGAACAAATGAAATTTCAAAAGTGGAACAGGATCAAAGTCAGTCCAAGGTGGAAAGCTGGTATTGCTTTTTAAAATGAATGCATTATTTTGGCCAGCTTTGATGTGTCCTTACAGAATTACTAACAGTGAAAATTTGTATCCACTTAAAAATATATAAATACACATAAATATTTTGTGCAACCAGACTGGCATCCATAATTTTCTTTGAAATACTGAGCAGAGGGGGAAAAATAACAAAGGTAGCATAAACAACTAATTATGGAAATATATGCAAGATGATTGGAAGACAAAAATTTGTGAGGGAATAAAGGTATTAATTCGAGCTATTTCAACATGATACTACCAAAATCAGTTGGTACAATATAACAGAACCACTGATCAGTTGTTTTTGTCTAAATAGTGTCAGTAATTTTTAAATAAGTCGTTTTACCATATTTGAAACATCGATCCCTTGTTGGTCTAAATATCATGTTGACATAGCCTCAGTGAATCTACCCAAATAATTCTCATTATCAAAAATAATTCCATTCAATATAATTCTTCCCATTATTTTATTAGCCTCTTCTAAAAAAGTATTCTAGAATATATCTCTGTTGAATGTGATTCAACCTGACATATGATTTGAATAGTAACACTTTTAAAGGGAGCTCTCTTGCTAGGACATCATACCAGTCCCTGAAGATGACAGAAATCAGACTCAAGTCTCTAACTCTGTTATCACATCGAGCCAGGAAAGCATGAAGAGTGATTTTTAAGTTCCCAGTCAGAAAGCCAACCCCCGGATTTTAAGGTCTTTTCAAATCTCATCTCAATTTTCTTGATTCTGTCAGGTTGGGTTAACTTATCTCATGGGAACTAGCTTCCTTGTGATGCTTTCTGGGTCAAATCAGGGTAACTACCTCCACTCTCACATTATGCAATTTTTTCCTTGTCTTCCAGGCCAGGAGGCATAGAAACAGCATGAAAATATGTGGGCCGTTTTCTGGTTTTGCCATATTTTTCATCTTTTCCCGGTGAGTCCATTTTAATCTGCCTTTTCATCCGACCACCAGCTCTAGAAAAGAAATTTATTCTGACAGCTTCAACGGCTAAGTGGTTAATGTGCATCATAAGGAAGAATCACTCTTTCTTTTGCCTTGGCATTGGGTTCTCATTGTACAACCCTGTACAGTACTTCAGCAACTATTTTTTTTTTAAGATTTAAAAACAGCACTATTGACACTTTGGGCCAGATCATTCTTTGCTGCAGATCTGTGGTATGACAAAAATGTCTTCAGACATTGCCATATATATGTCCTCTGGGGTAGCAAAATTGCCCCCAGTTGAGAACCACTGACGTACACCATCTTCTAAGTGCATTAGAACATTGGCATATTACTGTAATTTTCGAGAGGAAATTAAAGATAAGTTTCTAATAAACATAATCTAAAAATGCTTCTTGCCATGGACACCAAAAAAACATGAATACATAATGTGCTTTTCATTCATTTATTCAATGAATATTTACTGAGCACCGGAATTCGTATAACTTCGTATAATGTATGCTATACGAAGTTATTATTTTTTTTTAAATCCCATTATATAGTACACCGTATAAATTACAGAGTATTCAAATGCACAAATGCATCTGTGTAACATTTATCAAATGTAATTGGCGTGTCTTTATGTTCACACACGTGTGTGTTCTCAGGAGTTGAACTGTCCACCTTTATCGCGCTGGGCCTCTGGCTGTCACGTATGGCAGTGTTCCAGGTCTGGCACACTGCTGTTGCAGTATCGCATGTTGTTGGGGATATGGCAGTCTGTGTAATTAATGCCCCCATTTGGGGTGTAAATGGGCTGCAGTCTGAAATCTCCTTTAAGGAGCTGATCATTATTTAAGGAGACGATCTGAAAACTGGTTTCTGTCATCTCCAGGATGGAGTTGTCCTTCTTGGTGCCTGCTTCGCAATAGTCATCTTTCCGCCGGCCCCGGTTGTATTTCCACTTCTGGGAGGTGTAGCGCCCTTTTTTGTGCATGTGCCAGCAAAAGATGCTGAGCAAGACCACCAGCACGAATATCACCGCACCCCCAATCAAACCCGCCAGAAGAAAAGGGGAGCCCATGCTGTGGGACGTCGTCTGCTCGTGGCTGGAAGCGGTGTTGCTGCCACTGCTCAGGTCGGAGGCATGGGTGGTGGCCTCTGAACAAATGGTATCTTCGACGGTGCGGTAGTTAAAAGCATCCAGTGGCACTAAACAGATCCGATAGGTGGATCTGGGCTCTAAGTTAACCAGGCTCAGATGTTGCTTTTCGCCACTGACTACGCGTTCCTGAACAATGCCCCCTACTAAACTGTGGCCCATTTTCACCCACGTGAGTTTGTATGCCATCACTGTAAAGAGAGAGAGCCAGCTGACTTGGATGGAAGTATCATTGACAAAATGGATAGAGAGCTGGATCCGTTCAGAAATAGGGGGGGTCACTCTTTCTTGGCCATCCCCTTGGGGAATTGTGGGAAGTTTCAATGTGGTAGGACTTGGAGGTGTATAGCTTCTGCTGGGAGTTGGAACAGAGAGAGTGGGAGGCTGAGTGGTTGGAGAAGCTGTGCTTGGGGCCGGGGTAAACAGAGGCAGGCCGGGGCTCGCGGTGGGACATGACAGAAGATTCACATTCAACTCCCTGACAGCCATCCCCCGAACTTGTTCAGGACCTTGGCACATGAAACCCCGCACGTTGAGAGAGGAAGGGATATATTTGAGCCACTCTGTGACCCATTTAATGCTGCAGTCACAAAACCAAGGATTATTCCGAGCAGTGAGCTGCTTCAGGTTGGAGAGATTATCAAAGACCCCTTGAGTCAACATTCGGAGTTGGTTGTTGGATATATCCAGCCGTTCCAGCTTGCGGAGATTTGCAAAGGCTGTCAAGGGGATGTGGTTTATCTGGTTGTCCTGCAAATAGAGCCTGATCAGATGCGTACCTGGGAGATCAGGAGGGGGGTGGGAGAGCGAATTCCGTACGATCGAAAATTCCTTGAGCTTGGTGAGATGGCTGAAGGTGCCCTCAGCAATGCCTTTGTTGGTCAGGAGATTCCCGTCCACAATCAGACGCTCCAAGCTCGTGAGGTTCTGAAAGGCCATGTCTGAGATGACAGCAATTCGATTTTCATCCACTCTTAGCTCTTGCAAGTCCACAGGAAGCCCAACAGGCACACTGCTCAGGTGATTCTTGGACAAAAACAACAATTTGAGGCTAACTGCCTCCCGGAAGGCCCCGTCTTCCACCCCCACTGTGGATATAGAGTTGTCATCCAGGTGTAGCTCTTCGAGTTTTAAGAGCTGGGCAAGAGCAGCCCGTGAAATGGTCTGAATATTGTTTTCCTGCAAATGGAGAACTCTGACATTCTTGGGAAGGTTCATGGGGAATTCATCCAGTTGGTTGCCATACAGGTAGACTGTGTGCACCGACTGTACATTGTGCAGTTCTGCAGGAAACCCAGCATTATTAATTTGGTTGTTGTGGAGGTAGAGTACGGTTACGCCCTCCGGGATCCCAAGAGGCACTGAGGTCAAGCTTCGCTCGTTACAGTAGACAAAGTTCCTGTCGCAGCGGCACACACTGGGGCAGGCCAGGAGTTTGGACACCTGTGAGTAGAGCCCCAGGGAAATGAGAAGCCAAGATTTCAGGAAAAAAGCCCCATGGCTGGGCCACTTTGTGGTCTGTAGGCCCATTTCTGAAGTACAGAAACAAAATACAATGTGGTGGGGAAAATAAAGACAGCTAGCAAAATCAAAATGACTGGACGGGGTTCTGTCCAAGTCCAGAACCCCAGCTAGAGGAAACGTCCTGAGGGCGTGAGGTGAAATACTCTCCCAGCTGCCTCTGGTCTTATCAGCCCGTCTGGCTCTTTCTGCTGTTGTCCTCCATGTGCAAAAAAATTCAATAGGGAGAATTTTCCACACAGGCAACAGGTGATGCTAAGTTATCCGTGATGTCAACACAAGCCCAACTGGGAAGACAGAGCCCCCTTCTTCTGTGGTAGGTCAGAGCAGCGGTGATCAGCCTCTGCACGTCTTGGTTAAACTCAATCTGCAGTCCGTGATGTCAACACAAGCCCAACTGGGAAGACAGAGCCCCCTTCTTCTGTGGTAGGTCAGGGCAGCGGTGATCAGCCTCTGCACGTCTTGGTTAAACTCAATCTGCAATCTGCTGTAGGAAAGAAGAGAGAAAAGTGTCAGTGAAGGGTAGTCACGGAAGAAGTGCTGAGATGACTGTCAAGCCTTTCAGAAACGATGCGATTGGGACCTAATGTTGAGAGGCTGGGGTTGGTGTTAAGCGATATTTTAAGTTATAGTAATTTAGTTGAAAAGGTGTTCAAGAAATGAATGATTAAAATACCTTCTCTTCAAAAGGAAACCATACCATTATCTCTCACGATCAATAATCTTATCGTACATTTTACCTCCCAATCAGTACCTTCTCTTAAATATTTATTTGCATATCCAAATACGTGAGTGCAACAGACACACTGCTGAATCCAGAGAATTAGGCGATAATGATCACCTGCAAATCTTGTTGGTCAGTCTTGTTGCACGATGGAGATGGTGACTGAGAAACTAGTAACTTTTAAAGGAAAAATGAG